AATCTGTAATATGCGTTGAACACATCGAACAAAGTTACTAACGACCAAGGTTTTGTCACAGCTATAGGTCTATGGCTCAATCTGGACGAATAAAATGAGTATTTTCTCAAGGGCGTGGAGAAGCCACGAAGTAGGAAGGAACCCGCCACGAAGTTCCACTACGGAAAATTCATCATAATGGGCGATTTCAACGCGCAAGTTGGAGAAGACAACGAAAGGCATGGTACGAAGAAACGACTTCAAAGACCTCCACAGTAACTGCCTAAACCTGCCACACCTTTGTGCAAACAATGCACTATCTGTAACGAGTACCTTAACTTCTTCAAGCATCGAACATGCATAATCAGTGCATATAGGCCTCTGCTAGAGGACGATCATCGAATTTAAAATCGCAACGTCTAGCCTACGACGTTCTGTCATGGGAATTCGCCTTACAGACGCGTAGAGCTGTCAACCGATAATCACCCTTGTTGCTGACACCCTTTCGCTGTAAACGATGGAGCACTATGCGAAGGTCAGACGGAAGAAACAACCAGAAAATCAAATTGGAAACGTTTACTTCTGCGGATACGAGGTCAAAATTTGGAAACCACATCACATAACAGTTTGAGCAGATCTCAGTGATGGCCGCTGACGTGGAAACCGAATGAAAGTTCTCTAAGAGCGGCATACTCTAGACTGCCGCCGAAAGCCACGGTTGAAAATGAGTGAGCATGGCGCATGAAGTTCAACCAGAGGTTCAACAGCATGTCAACGAACAAGGCTATGTTTCAGCGGTGGCGTGTAGCAAGAACCTTCAACTCGAATGCTATACGCAGAAATACGCAAGGCGGCAACGAAAGCAATGGCCAAAGCGAAAGCTGCTTCTGAGAAACGTCCGGTGATATTTGCTATGCTGTGCTATGCTTGAATTTCAAGATGGAAAACAATGCATACCGGCAGACCAGCTGCCGCCTTCGAGATGCAAAGAAGGACAGTGTAAGAGTCCTAAAGTAGAAGCCCGGAGGGTGCCTAACAAGAATGTGGAGATACTTCGGCCATGGAGTGAGTATTTTGAGAAACAATATGACTCAAAGCAACAGCAGGAAGACTCGCCAAAAGCAGAAGGTAACGAATAATTAGGGCAGATCAGATTAACAATCAGGTTAAGTCTTCAATAGATAGTCAAAGAAGCTAGAAAAGCTTGAAAAGTGCTGAGGCTGCTGCTCTAATCGATAATGTCCGCTCTGAAAAGCTTAAAGCTTAAGAAGAACAACGCATGTTGTGGCTAACACCAGTCTATCAAACTACAATCGGTACAAGAAGATACCAGTGGACCAGAGAATGCCGGTTGTAGAACGACTGTTCAAAACGGGAGATTGAGCCCCACGGGAAAAGTCAACGCAAGGGTGTTAGAAAAGAGGTGTCGTGGAAT